CTTGCGCGGTGTGAGCCTAATCACGCTTGCCAGTCTACATCGACGGTGTTCAACACACTCCAGAAAGCCCATTCGGAAAAAGATCGCAATCCAGCGGCACTGCCAAAAGAGGTTACTGCTTTGCTTAATTCTCTGTGTTCTCTTTCCACAAGCATCTCCAAGATCTTTTCTCCCAGCTTATTAGACGATCCCTGACCCCAGGCACAGCCCTCCTTCAGGCTCACACAACCCACTCTGCTTCGATTCGGCTTGCCAGTCTACATCGACGATTCAAACGCGCATTCATTCCAGAAAGCCTGCCCGGAAAAGACAGCAATCCGCCAAAAGAGGTCACTGCTCGGCTTAATTCTCTCCGTCCCCTCTTCACAACGATCTTCGCTCCCAGCTTTCTAGACGTACCCAGGCACAGCAGTCCTTCACAAGCTCACACAACCCAATCTGCCTCGCCCAAGCGATCATCTAATCTTCTAGTTCCCTATTCACGACATCTATGCTCCGGGCCACCCCTGGGTTTCCAAGTCGCGTACACGAACCCTAACGACTCGGCTACCGAACGACTTGGATTGGCCAAGCACTCGCCCAACACGACGCCGCCCCTGCCGCGGCTAAAAACCCCTTGACCGTACCTACCCTCCACCTTCTACTCGGCCGAGCAGCCACGACACTCCCTCGCTTACCGTGAATCGCTACTAGCATACACACACTGTGCTCCTTCACACAGGGCCAGGCCAGACCAGCAGACTCGGCAGCTTAGCGCACACCCGCACGACACGCACAGCGCGCGCGCATTGAATCTCCCAACATATCATCATGACGACATCGACAACACCCCGCGTAATCGCAGCATCGTCATATGCATGCACCCACGTCCAGCTGCCCATCTTCGCACGACGCACGGACTTCTACGAACTGAATGGTCCATACGCGCATTGCGCACCGGATCCAGCCCGCGAATCGCGTCGGAACCGCCCACGTAAGTACTAAGCCCAAGCAGGCCATCAGCCAGCTGAAGCACCGGGTGCGACTCGATCAACTGCGACGCTGCCTCCGGAGTCCTCTTACACGCCGGATCGGACCTTTTCAAGCGTGCGCACCTATTCGATGTTAGCAAGTACCCATTGCCTGGGGTAGTGGGCCACAAGGAGTATGGGACCTGCCGGCAGACTCGTGAGTCGTCATCTCTTCCCTAACGCCCGACGGGCCGCCGCCGCCTGCAGGGCCGCTACACTCAAAGCGTCCCGCAGGCATCACATCATGCGCCCATACAACCGCACCACCACATCCTCCCGGGCTCCGGGCATTCGTTTCGCCTGCGTCCGAGCCACACGCCGCGCGCGCGCGCACCCGGCCATCGGTCGAGACAACGTCGCGTAGTACGCTCGCCCGCGCTTGTCGCGGTACCTGGCACTCCGACCTTCTCTCGTCCGTTACGAGAAGGTTGCCGTCAGGGACCACGCTCGTCGCTCGGGGCCCCCTCTATCTCCTCAGAGTCGGGCACGCGCCAATTCTGGTGCCGCTTTCCTACCGCACGGCACCACTCGGCACGTCCCCACCCCAAGTCGCTTGCGCTCCCATTGCCTTGCACACGCTGCGTCGCTTGCGTTCGAGGTCCTCCTGGCTACGCTATGCACTCTATCTAATCGCGCCATCTGCGCAACAAGCGCGTCGAAATCTTGCCCGGACGCTGCGCGATTGTTCCCTTGTCGGAGTATAATAGCACGGGCGCGTTCTCACCGCCACCGAGCGCTTTTTGGTTCCGCGACGGTTCTCGAGTGTCGTATCGGGGCTCAGGAGTAGTCCCATCAATCGCGCAGCGTGGACATTTGGTATATCGAGACGCGATCTGCTTCCGTTGCGCCTTGTCTTTGCCGGTACCAAGAGATATTTTCAGAAACAAGGTGCTCGTGCGCTCAGGTGGTCTGTGCGCTCTCCACGCTTACGACATTGCGAGCGGTCGAGACGCGCTGTGGTCCTCGAGATCGGCGGTGTTTGTCATCGATCCCAGTTACAATGCTAACCTTCCGCCAGGAGGCAAGAGTCGACAAGCGATATGGAGGCGCCGACGAGCTGGGCGCAGTTGCCGCTGATAGACAACCGAGGTGGACACGGGACGTGAGGAGTCCCGAGAGGGTGTCACCGAGCTGGAGGACCGAGGCGGACAATGACAAACGCGGCTCGGCGCACGTGAGCAGCGCGCTTCGTGGCGCAAGCAGCAGTCGCGGGCTCATAGCATGCGGCGAGGATCTGCCCCTGTTCGCGGACCCGACGTTGGCGGGGTGCGCATCACCGCGCGTGCCTGGCGAAGGGAGCGGGTACCCGAAGGAGCCAGGTCTGATTCGGTGGAAGGTTCGCAGGCGGGTGCAGTGGGCAGAAATGAGCGTGGGTTCGCGCCCGTCCTCGCAGAATAGGCGTTCTCACGTTGGCGATGTCCCTCTCATAGCGGAGGCGTGCGTCATCATTCCAGGCAGTGCTGTTTGAGAGACCGGGTTTGTTCCATGGGGACGAGATGAAATACCTGGGATCAGCTATCATTCTCGCAGCGGGTGATTGAGTCTGCTGGAAATTCAAACAGAGGCCCCGAGAACATGAGGCGCTCCATTAAGGTGCCACGAAGCCATCAGCTTCTCCAACGATACGAAATTCAGCCAATCGGACAGAGGGCATGCCGATGAGTGGCGGACGAGACTTCGCCTAAGCGTCACGGGGATAGCGAGGGAGGACGGCGCCTGTGGCGCATGCGTGACGTCATGCTTTGCGGGCGCAGGCACGACGGTCTTGAAGTACGGCTGCCGACGCGCTCGACTACGCCTCCTCCGAGCTCCCATCCGTCTCCCTTTGTGAGCCGTCCATCTCTCTCGCCGCCTGTCCACTCACAACACGCGCAGATCCCGTGTTTGCTCAAGCGACGACCGTGCAGAATGCTGGATATAGGACCGTGCAGAGAGCAGAAAGGCGTCGCACTGGCTATAGGGCATAACGAACGCTTTGCTGCAGAGTCTTATGCCAGCCACAAGGCCAGGTAAGCCGGCTTTCGTTTTTGTTATACCCCGCTGTTATTCCATTCGTTTCCAGCTTCTATCAACATGCTCCTGCCGTCCTCTCCTCTCATCATCATCCCTGCTCTGTCCGTCCTCTGCTCTCTGATCCCCGCTGAACCCATGTCCATCCATCGCTTGCCGTCCGCTCGCCCATGCCCGTACCAGCCCGCTCGTATCGTTCAGTCCCCGCCCTCCATGTCGCATCACATCGTTCGTGAACGCGCCGACTAGTCGCGTTGACCGTTCTTCATCAGCCTCCACGCTCTGGGTGCCTGAGAGCTCAGCGCCCAACCATCAAGCGCATCGCCTCGTTCGCAGACCCGACTGCGCATTGAGGCCTTGCCGCTACGACGCGTTCCTGCGTGCTTTCAACGCCCTCTCAGGCGGAGAGCATTTCACGCTGCATGTTCTCGAGTTTGAGGTTAGCGGACCGTGGCTTGACGTGATGGATAGCAAGTGGCGGCGTAAGTATTCCCATTCCAACGGCGCGCAACTCACCGCCCCGTATACGCCTGCTATCGTTCACGAACGCGCTGACCGTACTTCATCAGCCTCCCCATGCTGGGTGCCTCGGAGGCCAACCATCGAGGTATCGCCTCGTTCGGAGACCAGACCGCGTCTTCAGACCACGCCGTTGCGAGGCACTCCTGTGCGCTTTCGATGCCCTCGAAGGGGAAGAACGTTTCGCGCTGCATGTGCTCGAGTTTGAGGTTGGCGGACTGCGGCGTGGATCGTGATTTGACGCAGCAGAGAGGAAGCCCTGGTAAGCATTCCCAACGTCGCACAATTCACTACCCTGTACACTTGCTACTCAGTCCTTCACGTGTCCCTGTCGAATCCGACCGTCTCTTCACTCGTTCACCTTCACATCGAGCATTCTGTCGACCTCGCGAGATGTTGTCTAGGGACGCGCGACGACCAGTCACGGCCATCGTTCACGCTTATCTGCATGGCGCTCGGGCTGGACACGTCCTCGTGCATTCGCCACCCTCCTGCTGTCCGTGGCCTTGGCCTGCTGAGCAAGGCATAGCCTCCGATCAAGACCGTCGGGTTCATGATCCTACAAAGAGCATGATCGATTAGGTACGCAAAGAACGCGGTGAGCCGACGTACCGTGTGGTGAACAGATGGTTTCACCCAGTCTGCTTTGCCAGAACTCACTCGGGATGTAGCTAGCAGGAGACGGCGTGGGGCAGCGAGCCGTCACGTCTTGCAATCTGTTCGTCATCTCATAGGTATCCTGTGTTCAGCGCGCCACCATCCGCTACCCAGTTGGTGACCATGGCCGGCTTGTTGCAAGCTGGCGTATTCCAGTGGCACGCCACGCGATATTCGGCCAAGAGACACCGTAACGGCTTGTCCGCTAGTTCGCAAAGGCAATCACGAGCTGTCGCGGATGGAAGTGTGTTCTGGGAAGCGTCTTCCGTTTCGGCGTGTGCTACACCGGTCTCGAGGTAGGCTGTCATGGCCGTCTTCCCAGGCATCTGGTCTCACTTGTTTGAGGTCGCGTTTTCGATCGCTGTGCGAGGTCGGCGTGCAGTTGGGACGTAAGCTCGCATGGATGAACTGCGTTCGCGTCAATGATCTACAATGTCCTCAAAGCTTCGCATGCAGCGCAGTCTGCTCAACGTCGGCCGTGGGCTTCATGTGGGTGGTCACCGGCAATCCGAGGATATAAACCGAAATGCTTTGGCAGCAGTGCACAGGCAGTGCTTTGACCCGGGAAGGCCAATCATGCCACCGCCCTTTGCTTGACATCGAATGCTGAGTGCATCTGCCCGCCTGCCGACGGCTCGACTGCCAGCTTATCGCACACATGGACCGTCTCGAATACGGCTGGCGGTGCTCCATCTCAATGCCAGACGGCCGATGTCGCGGAGCTTGCTGCAGCCAAAATCGCGGCGAGTGCGATCATCACCGTGACAGACACGGCGACCTCTCCTTTACCGACAGTCGTTGCGTACATAATCGACGCATTCGGGCTTCGGGCTTGAAGTGATTGTGGGGAAAGGCAATCTGAACTTGAATATTGTCGATGCTGGCTCCTTTATCGCTGTCAGACGAGAAGCGAGGGCCTAAGGTGAACCGTGGTGTGTGAGAAAGCAAGAACGCGTACCGCGAAACCGATGGCCTCCGTTGATGTCCTTGGATGCGTTCGACTTGCACGCGGTGATCTTCGTGAGCGGATCTCTGACGTTGTGTTGCTGCGCAAAGGCTAGGTCAGCTCTGCACACACGCGCTCATCGATGACGGTGTACGTATCTGGCGCATTCGGTCTGCCCATGGGTTCGCTTTCTGAATATACATCCCAGGTAAGTCACTGCAAACACTGGCAGTCGAGAGCGAGAAGATCTTATACCATGGTGCATAGGGAGGAGGGCATGGAGGGAGGCGCGTTGCAGGGTTGGCTGTGAGAGGGGAGTTCGTGGGGAGTGGGAGAATGGGAGACATCTTTGCATTTAAAGGAATGAAAGGCTCTCCCCGGACGAGTTCGGGTAAGGGTTAAACACAATAAATGGATAGAACTCTGCCGAAATAATGCAGCTCACTGGGTTGCCCGACCGCCGTCGCCGGCTGTGGAAGCAGTTCGCGTGGGACGAGACTGGCCGAATGGTTCAATCGCCGTGCATGAACCGCTATAGCTGAGCTGAATGGAAGCCAGAAGACGTAGTCCAGGTCCATTTTTCCTCAAGAAGGTGAGTATCCGCTCTAGGTCCCACTAAACCGATCCACGGCAGGGTTCTCTTTCACACGGCTCACCTCCGGTCAATCGGCCAGAAGCTGCCAATCGAAATGTGGGCGTACAGCGGCCGCATTGATTTTGATTTCTTTGATCGCCGTTAGCCTCGTGTCTTCCGTGTACGTAAAACGTCTCACATCTCGAAGTGTCCATTGACCTGCAGATATGCAGCTTTCTTTAGGGAGCTGGTTGGTACGCTGGCCTGTGTATGTACTCTGTCATTCTGTTACCATGTCTGTCATCACGGATGGTCTCTCAATCATGCTCGCAGGCAATCTTTCTGCTCCTAGGATAATGCCAGTGAGTCAGTGACAGCAGATAGAAGCAGCCTGTCAGCTTCGGGAGAAACCTTTGCTTTGAGCCCAGTTCCTCATTTCGGCCCTTTACGCATGTCAAGGTGTGAAGTTGCACTTCTTCGCATGCTACCTGCGGGCCTCACTTTTTACCGATAAGCTTTCATAGCACAGTGTTCTGGTGAAATTTGAGCTTCTCGTTTGTTCTGGCATGTCTAGACACCTGTAAGTTGCTCTGGGCCTTGTCTCGCAGTGTCTCAGCCTCAATGGGGCTTCCGTTTGCCGTCCCACTTCTGCCTGTGCACGCACGCATCGGATCCCACCCGCGGTCCTCTGTACATACCATTGCATGTGCATCTCAGGCTCGCTTCGCCTTCTGCTTCATCTGAAACATAACCGGGTTTGTATTCAGCCACGTAAGAATGTACACAAAAATACTGTAATAAATCGAGGATATGTGTTTGATCACCCAAGTCCTTACACATTAACGCGACCACTCCTTTCCACGCCGACTGTCCCATCTGGACAGATGCGACGCGACGGGAGTGTTGAAAAAAACGCCCACGAGAGCACTTACCTAGCTGTAATGTCGTGAGCCTACGAAGGACTGCCACCATCTCACATGGTGCACGTACCTCGTGTCTTCCCAAGGTGCACGTTCCTGAGCATTGCACATTCCTGCGATCTCGTTCTTAGCGGTCGCGCCATCCGAAGCCATGAGCTTCACACACGAAAATATACGTGGGAAGCGGCAGAGCAGTACAGTTAGCTGGTGCCTTCCAGAGACCAGCCGCGTGCTCGGTCCCGCGGAGACCGCTGTGCAGAGTCATCTTGTCATCGGGTTGTGCATGTATCTCACAGGAAGGTGCGTTGGAGCTGACTGAGGAAGTGATGGCGCCCACCTATTGTGTCCCATTGCGGTGGTGGGGAGCCGACCAAGTTGATCTCGAGTTTTGCACAATCCAGGCCGACGGCGAGCCATTTACAGAGCGTACGCTGGCTACGATCTCAGACGTCGCGTACTGGAAGGACAGCCTGTCCATTGGAGTCAGGTCGAGCTGCGTCCCGCATCGGTGAGTACCAAAATCATCACCGATGTATGTGATGAGTACTCACCGTGGGAGGTCGGATGCGGTGTGTGAAGATCGAGGCCATCGCTGCTTGGAGCGGAAGCTTGCCACACGAACCAATGGGCATTCTCGGATATCTGATTGAGACTCGTAGGCCTTGAATTATTCTTTGCCGCGTCGTGAATGTTGAGCTTGCATCGTCGGAGCGTGATGGATGAATGTCTGGTCTTTACTGGAGGGAGAGCGACGTGAGGGTAACGATGCACTCATGCCCTGGTCCTCTGCTTAGATCGCTTCCGATGCTTTGGGTGTAGAAATATATTCCGAGACCATCTGGAAGAGAAGAGAAGGGAGGAAAGGATAAAATAAACCGTCTGAACCATATCAGAGCCGAGCAGCACGCCGCACGGACTCGCGAGAGCTCCCCACAATGAACGCGCAATGCCAACAGACGAGCACGCATCGATCGAGCGCGATGCGCCTTCGATGCTCAACCAAGGCTGTAAGACTCCGAGCAGAACGCCCACCTGACGCGACGATCATATATCACAACGCGCTATCGCGGTCCCAGTCAAAAGAAGCCGCCAGTATGAGCTAGAAGACATAGAAACTCACCTCGAGACCCGCGAGCTGCGCACATGATCTCGCTTCCTTTGATCCAACTCCCAAGGCCATCACTTCGCGAACGCACGAATGTGTGTGCCTCCGCGATGCGTTCCGTGGATAGCGCGCAATGTCGATTTGATGTCCTGCTGGGGTTCGTTGGCCATGCGAGAGCATGCGTCTGAGCAGACGCGACGGTCGGCGAGCAATGCTGTGGGTCCGTCGGGTAGCGGCTTGTGTGAGATGGCCAGATGCGCATGTGCAAGGCCTGGTGGTGATATCTCGGCACTGCGGTGACATTTAATGTGGTCGGCCCTGTCGAGCGTGAACGACGGCTGCGATGATCGCATCGCGGAGCGCGTTCCTCGGTACCTGCATACGGTGTTGAGTCGACGTGCAAAGCCCACGTCGACATGACGAGGGCGGCTAGATGCATCAATGAGGCGTGTTGACTGAGGTGGCGACACGTGTGTGAGAGTTCGCGTACGTTGCGCTGCGGGGTGAGCATGGTGGGCGTTGGTGTGGACACGACTCGGGCTTCTTGTAATCGAAGGGATAGAGAATGTCAGATTGCCGGCGACAAGAGAACGCGCACATACCTCCATTTCACGTTGCCTCCAGGCAGACGGTCCGCAAGCGACAGCGCACCGACCCCCCGTACGCGATCTCAACGTTGGGCCTTGGTTCGCGAGAGTCACAAGCGCACACTGCTCGCCGTGCCTTTGAGCGCAGCGTCTGGTCATCACGAGACGAGGGGGGAGCGGGAGCAACGGTGGCCTGAGGGTCAATCGCGCTTCTGGCAGAATCGCAGTGCAGAGAGAGAGATACTCACCTTCCTACCGGGCAAGCGACATGCTTCGCATTGCGGCGCTACTCCCCATCACCACTATCTAACACGTTCTCCGCCTTTGGGCAGTCGTCGCGCAGCTGCATCGACGCGCAGCTCTGCTGATATGCGCGTAGGGCGTTGACGCATGGCATGCGAAGCTGGCGGCGACAGGACGAGGGCGTGTTGAGTGAGGCGGCGACGTGCGAGCAAGGGTTCACGTACGTTGCGCTGTGGGATCGGCGTGGTCGGCCTCGGTGTAGACACGACTCGGGATTCCTGTCACCGAGGGGATAGAGAACGCTGAGTTAGCAGGCGACGAGCGTACGGATGCATACCTCCGTCTCGCATTGCCTCGAGGAAGATGCTCAGCCAACGACAGCGCACCGACTCCTGGCGCGCACGATCTCGACGTTGGGCCATATCTCGCGAGTCGTAAGCATTACAATGCTCGCCATGTCTCTAGGTGCAGCGCCTGGTCACGACGAGATGAGGTGGGAGTGGGAACGATGGCCGCCTGACGAGCAAACGCGCTCCCGACAGAATCGCAATGTAGATAAAGATACTCACCTTGTCGCTGGGCGACCGACATGCCATCCTCCAAAATCGCCTTCCTGGTCGTCCCCTCCGGAATATCCCCACCAGCGATCTGCGCCTCAAATATCCGCAAATGCGGCTGTATACCCCCCGCAGCCCTGTCAAGCGGGGCATACGCGATATCGAACGCATACACGAGAGAATATGTATGGCGGCGGCGGCGCTGCAGTGAGCGGGGCCTGTGACCCTTGTGACAAGTCTGTGATCTAGGACGCGCTCACGTGCCTCTGGTGTGACAGACGCGTCTTTCACGCGGCGGACCTCGGAGTGGCAGCATGAGTTTCGCGACCTTCCG